GAACTGAACTGAACTGAACTGAATAGGGGGAATATTATTATACATATTTTACATAATATATTAAGTATAATATATAGTAATATATTTATATTATTTATATACTATATTACTATATATACTATATAAAGTAATAGCTAGATATAAGGATTAGATGTTGAAAGATGGTGACATTATGTATGTTTTAATGATATTGTTATTGTCATTGGAATGGGGGACTAAATGTTGAAAAACTAAATAATGAAGGCCTATTTTATCACAAATACTAATAAGTATGATCTAAATAACAAATATTAATACTATTATTACTACTTGTATTTAAATGTATATATAGACACAAACTCACACAAATCTTGGAAATTCTGAAAATGTATAGTAAGAAACCTTTGGCTTTGGAGTGTATAATAAAAAATGTGCTAGTCTCTTTAAGAAGTGTGTAGAATCCCCATATATCTCACACAAAAAGAGGGAAAATTTAAAAATTCCATTTAATACTGCTGAAATGTTTTGTTGTCACCCCCTAATGCATTCACTATACTTTAAGATCAGCATTAAACCTCTGGTAATTCTGTAGAAATTCATCCTGATGGAATTTCCTATTCCAAAGGATTTATGACCCTCTGTTCAATTCTCTTATTTTGTAAGGGTTAGCATACAAGTGTAAAGTACTATATAGTACTTTATTAATCATACTGCTGTCCTATTAAGGTTCTATTTGTGGGGTCCTGGACTTAACAACTTGAGCACTATGCTGCATAGTTATATTTTATTTGCCATCATCCACCTGTCTGTAATTTATTTTGCCTTCTTCATCCATCCAAAAAGGAGCTAATAAAAAGTAGATACACACATCAAAGAACAGTATATCAAATGAAGTATTTTCTTACCAGAATCCTTTACACGCAGACCTAATCTTTCCTCCCTTTTCTGATCCACTGTTTTGTCAACCAGTTGCTGAAACAGTTTCAAGGATTTTTTAAATAACTCTCCATCTGGGAGGTCAAGTAGATCATCTCCATGAATCCTTCTTCTAGACATCAAAGCTACTGAGTTAGACAAAATCCAGAGAAGCTTTTTTTGCCAGTCAGAATATTTTCTTCTGTTCTTATTCCTAATAATAACATTTGTGGGAATACCCCCAACAGATCTTAAGCATTGCTTTGGTGAACTGGAAAAATGATAACTGCAGTAGCTTGTTGGGGCAATGTGCCATCAAATACCTGATGTCACAACTCCTCCCTCAGTTTCATTGGTCTATTGGCCAATCTAGATCACAAACCAAACTGGCAGGCTGAAGGCCATAAGGAAGTTTACCTTCTGGGCAAAGATGAGTCATAGTAAATTCAAAAGGCAAATTGGTAATTTTAGGGGAAATATTGTGTAAAAATGTATTTAATTTTATTTCAGCAATTGCAAAGGGATAACATCCTTGTTTGTAATACAGTTGCAGACAATTTGATAAAATGCAAGGAAAATAAAGGCAGCCTAGGTACTGTAGATTGAATTAAATAATTTACTACAGTACAATGTTTCCCAGTGGCTGCACTTCAGGTGTATTGGGAGTAATAGCTCTCCATCAGGATAGCCTTTGGCTGTGCTGGTTGGCAATATTGGGAATTGCAAATTCCTCAGCTCAAGGAAAACTAATATAATGCTGCAGAGGTAGAAATAAAAGAAAGTGTCTTGTTTTCATAGCTTTCCTCAAACTAATATCCTCCAGATGCGTTGCATTACTACTATCATCAGCCAGCATGACCAATAGCCAGGGAAACAAAGAAAAAAGGGTTGAGAAAATAATGGTTTAATTAACACTGTTATGTTGTGCTAACAAATATAATGTGGCTGACTTTATTTTGACTTAGTATGTTACTGAAACCTAGGCATTGTGGTTTGCATGTTGGAGTTTATGCAGTTGATGAACTTAACCACAGTTTCCTGAATAATCCACAAATTATAAACAAAACTATTGCTTTGTGCAACATGTGGACCAAGGTTTTTGTGTTCACCAACCATAGTTAGTCTGTAGTTCCTCTATAAGCATTCAAGAGTCAAATGGTCAACCACTGTGCTCAGTCAAATCTTATCATAAATATTTTTCCTCTAAACCTAAGCAAGTAAATCATGATTTGGTGGAAAGATTTAGAGGAGAGCAGTCATGCATTTAAACCCAACCAGTTTCAATGATGGAAGATTAGATTTGGTGAGTACTGTTATGTACATGCTGGTTGTATTGTAGAGACTAATGGTGAACCACAACCTATCTTATAATAATAATAATATTTTCTATCTTCAAAGGAAATCTTACAAAGTGATAAGAATTATAGATCAGACTGAACTGTCTTCCTAATTATAATACAAGAACAACTCATTATACAGCAGTACATCTAAGCCCATAGAACAAAATGCTTGAGTTTCAAACTTTCTTTTCCAGAAGTCCACAAGGCCTACAAAAGAAGTGGGTTGCTCCCGGTTTGGCCCAGATCAGGCGAACAGGTAGTGGCGGTGGCAGGAGGTTCAGCCCACATACCTGGATGCATCTGCGTAGAAGCGAGCACATCGGTAGTAAAAAAAAAATGGAAACCCACCACTGGTCTACGCCATGTTCACACCTCTTCTCTTATGCAACTGCTTTGAAGTTGCAGTCTCTCCATTATCTTCCATTGAGCATCGCACCTAGTATTCTTCCCTGAACCTTGGTCTTTATAGAAAAAGTCAGAACTCTCACAACTTGTAGTGTCACTCTAACAATTAAAAGGGGGAAAATGAAATAATTTTGATAATGCATACAAGTCAGGGGTGTCAAACTCGATTTCACTGAAGGCCACATCAGGGTTGTGTTTGACCTTGCGGGGGAAGGGGGCATGGCCAGCTTGACGTCACTTGTGTTGGGGGTGCCTGTGGTGGTCTGAGCACTTTGCCAGCAAAAACAGAGCTCAAGAGGACCCCCCGTGGTCCTCACAAGTTCCATTTTCGGCTGCGATGGGTGTCCTGCAACCCTCTGCCAGCTCTGTTCTTGATGGCACAGGCACTGTGGGCCGGTCCTTTGCTGTTTCCAGGGTGGTCCTGTGGGCTAGGTCTAAGCACCCTGCAGGCAGGATCCGGCCCCCAGGCCTTGAGTTTGACACCCCTAATATAGATCATGTCATATTATGGTCTTGCAGCATATGGGTGTATTAATTAGTGATTTCAGACCTTCTTGTCATTTTTGAAAGAACAATTGCAATGATACTAAATTATATGCATTGGCATTGTACAAATGACACAGATTATGTATCATCATGATATAGTCATTGTACACATTATTTTTCCTTTCTTCTATCCCTTTCAGGTATGTATGTATTAGGGTCATCAGACTGGACAAGGTTGCTCTATAATATTTATTCACAAATTTTACTGCTGTTCATTTAAACAAGGGAAATGTATGTGAGGATACTAGCATTTGTATGTATGTGCATTTCAACTAGTTTCAGAGTCTTTCATATATGTACTATGCTTAGTCTTCAATACTTCCGAGATTGGTAAAATGAGGACCCAGATTGTTGAGGGCAATAGGGTGACTCTGAAAAACGCTTACAGAGGGCTATAAAGCACTGTGAAGCGGTATACAAGTCTAAGTGCTATTGCTATTGATCTAGCTGATGGGACTATAGTTTTAATGCTAAGCCAAATGATTTGTGCTACCAGCTTTGTAAAAGGATTTCCTGATTTGTAATGTGACAGTCCAAATGTAAGTGGAGTTCTATTGTTGACATTTAACATGCCATAATGATTCCTCCTCAGTACAAAAATGTACACAATACGGGGAAAAATACTGGTGTCTCTTTTATCTCACAACTAATAAGTAGTTTCCACGATTGTTATTAAGTTGAGAGAAATATAGGACAAAAGCACATATGTCTTCCAGAGTTTTGCTTCTGACAAATTCAGAATAATTAGAGCTAGCAGTGAAAATCCATCATCCAAGAAGTTCATTCAACCCGCAAAAGTGCTCTGCAAGCAAACATTTCAAAATACTGGCACGAATAGACTCCCTTCTTGAGAGTGCTCAATAGAGAGAAAGAATAGCAGTCTTCAAGTCTATTCAAATTCTTTGATTTCTTTCCTTTTTGTGTCCAAGGAAACAATGAGGTTTTGAGCTTCAACTCTCCCCAATAATAACATCCAACCTGCAGGCAGGATCTAACTCATGGACCACTGCTGTAGCCATTTCTCTACAAGAGGGCTCCAATGAAATCGGTGGGCTTTAGTTTTATTGAGAATTTGTAGCACTTATGATGCATATACTTACAGTGTTCTAACTTTAGCCAAGAATAAATGTGAGACAAATTAAAAAAAATAATTAGCATGGTTTATGTGACAGATAGTGAAGCACAGTGCAGCCTTTAGAAAGGGCTAAAGGAAAGGGCTAAGGAAAATGCAGTTAAAACAGTGGTTTGTTTTCTAAATCATCCATCTGTCCTATAAGAAACCAATTAATCTATATTCCGTGTTAAGAATGTTTCAGCCACTGAACAATTGTAAAGCATGGAATATTTTACAAAACACAGATTAGACATACTAACAAGTGTTTCAAGAGTATGTTTCTTTTTACATTAAATATTTTGTGCTGTGTTTTTCTTACTGTTTATTTTGTGGAGTTCCTTGTCACAAGTCCTGAATGTCATCTTTGAAGCCCTGACTATTTCAAAAATGGTCAGGGCTTCAGATATGACGTTCAGAACTTCTGTGGCATGGAGCTCCACAAAATAAAAATAATTATAAATTAATCCCAGATTCCTGTTGTGGGAACAGGCAGAAAAGCAATTATTTGGCTAGCTGACATGCACTGCAGCGTTCTAGGAAATTGATTCTTTAAACTCCAGTCCAATGTTGGTTTACCTTAAAATGTGTCATTTAGCAAATATTGGAAATAGATAATAATATATATCTGTATTTATTAAGGATTTTTTAAAGCCAAAAAATAAATATGGAAAAATATAGAAGTAGAAAAAAAATAAAAAAGTTGAAAAAAATGAAGAAAAAACTCTTAATGAAGGAACTTCTGCTCTTGTTTACAGCAGTTATAAACATACTTGATACTATTTCCCACCTTCAAAAGTGCATAATGTAGTTCCCTTCTCTCCATTTATATCTATTTTTAATCAGTAAATCCAGAAATCCTGTTCATCTTTACCCATTTTCTATATTTAAAAAGTCCATCCTAGGGTTTCTAGACTTTTGTAAATAACATACTCTAAACATTAGCCTCTGTACTATACCAATATGTAGTGTGATGACAATTTTTAAAAAGGGAACAAAGTTCAGTTCCAGAACAGTATTGAGAGTATATGGGTAGAAAACATTTGCTTAGACCAGGCGTGGCCAACCCAGCGCCCACTGGCAGCCTTGAACAAGCAATAATGCACTCCACAAGATCATAAATATATAAAAATAATAAAGTTGTGATTTATAGGTAAAGGTTCCCCTTGCACACATGTGCTAGTTGTTTCCAACTCTAGGGGGTGATGCTCATCTCCGTTTCAAAACCGAAGAGCCAGTGCTGTCCAAAGACGTCTCCGTGGTCATGTGGCCAGCATGATTAAATGCCGAAGGAGCATGGAACACCATTACCTTCCCACCAAAGGTGGTCTCTATTTTTTTTTAACTTGCATTTTTTGCATGCTTTCGATCTACTAGGATGGCAGAAGCTGGTACAAGTAACGTGAGCTCACTCCATTACGATGTGCTAGGGATTCAAACCGCCAAACTGCCGATCAACTCTATTTTACATATTTTATATATGGCCCAAGATAATTCCTCCTTATTTAATGTGACCCAGGCAAGCCAGACATTTGGACAACCACGCCTGAAATGTTATAACTATGTGATCCATAATAATCTGTCCCTAACTTGGTCTTTCAGCTGTTCCTAAATTGTACTCATTGTTTCTGTAACTGAGTGTATCCACTTTGCTGCTGATTGACCTCTTTTTCTCTGTGCTTCCACATTTTCCAGCATTAGAGCCTTCTTCAGAGAGCTAGATGCATAATGTGTCCAAAATAGGATGTTACACCTATTAGTAACACATACACCTTAGTAACACAGTTATAGGGAAATCTAAGAGATTTACTTTTTGAGAAGGTCCATCTTCAAAGATGCCTGAACAAACAGAACAGTACCTGGGTAAGAAATACCAACATTTTGGACTCCCCGAGAAATCAAACAAATTCTAGAAAGCGATACCAAACCATTTTCGTTCTAATGGACTCCCCCCCCCTTTATTGTCTGTGTATAGACTAGAGTGACAGAGAGGTGCTACTACAATTTCATTTGCCTGACTGCCGTCGTCATCCCTAAAGTTGCAAAACTATTACCCTAGATTGGGAAGCTCCAATCATCATTACGCACGAACTAGAAGCCCGAAGTATTAGCAATTCAAAAACCTGACGGCCCGTGGGGGAGGGAGGAAGAGACGTACAACCGTGAACACACCAAGTCCCACGTTTCGCGCTGTTAGCGCAAGCGCCGGCGTTCCCCCTTCCTCTTTTCGGCGATCGCGTCGACTTGCACAAAGGAGTTGCCTTACTACGGCGCGGTCCTTACAGCCTTACTCGAAGATCCTCCTTTTCCACTCTCGAGTTGTCGCACGGTTGATCGCTCAGGTGCCATTAACGAGGCGGAGCGCGCCGGGGAGGGGAGGGGGAGAACGGGGACGCGCCCGGATTTCCACGGTCTCTCTAAGAGTTCACTCCTCCCTCGTTCTGCCTTTGGCGGCAAGGGGTGCTTGGGGAGCGGACGAGGGTAGTGCAAGCAGCCGCGGGAGCTCCCTTTTGCAATAGATTTTGCGCGGGATTCTCAGCAGCCGGCAGCATGTGAACGGAGTTTCCCGATCATCCACCTCGAGCTATGTACTCCGGGAACAGCAGCCGCGGCAGCCGCCTGCAGCCCACGCCGGGGGAGCAGGACTTGGAGCGGCGACGGCCGCAGGCGGCGGGGGACTCGGGGACGCCGTTCAGCGCCAGCACCTACCACCTGTTAGCCTTCCTTATCGCCGCTATCGGTTTCGTGGGCTTGTGCAACAACTTGCTGGTCCTGGTGCTTTATACCAAGTTCAAGCGGCTCCGCACGCCCACCAACCTCTTCCTGGTGAACATCAGCCTCAGCGACCTGCTGGTGTCGTTTTTCGGCGTCAGCTTCACTTTCCTCTCCTGCCTCAGAAATCGGTGGGCCTGGGACGAAGCCGGCTGCATGTGGGACGGCTTCAGCAACAGCCTCTTCGGTAAGGGGAACCGATTCACGACCCCTGAGCTCCAGCCCTGCTCTAGGGTCGGCGCACCTCCCTCTGAATTCGTGCAGTGGGACCGGCGCAAGATTTACAAGAACGGGAATAATAATAATCAATAATTAATAATAATTTCTAAATTTGCCTGACTTGAACATTCTGATTCTACAAAAAAACACCCTACTTGGAACAACATATATACTCCGACATTACCTTAACAGTTCCTAGGTCCTTGGTTTGAGCTGTTGAGCTACCAACCAGCCCCAAAGGCTGTGAATCTAACCAAAAATTAATCACATGATGATGATGATGATGATGATGATGATGATGA